TGAACGTAATGATTCATCATGGCGGCTCCCTTTGAACTAGAGCGGAAGAACCCATTCAGAACCTTCCAGAGTGCCTAGAGACTCAAAAATTGCTACAGATTTTCGGAAGAACCCGTTATGCAACTATACTAAGTTTCAGGTTGCTAGCATTAGTAATAAAAAAGTTATAAGGGGTGGTGCTTGGGCAACTCAACTGAAACCGACTATAACGGAAGAGAGCTTTGGTAGCCCATTATTTGGCGTAGATGAAGCAGGCAATGACAGGGATAAGACATATACTTGTCACAGCTGTTGCTCTAGCGTGGACAAGCTGTTGTCACTCAGAAAGAAGGCAGAAGAAGAAAAGAGTAAAGTTTTATAGAAATTAGAGTAAATTTTAAGTCTGAGAGAGTGCCTGTTGTGACTCCATACCACGATGATTCACATGGCAGGGTTACCGATAGTGTACGTGTAAGTATACGGACCGACATTATGTCAGTAGACCACATGTAACCGCATCCGGTTCACCCGGTTTTGGGTGAGGCAGAATGAAGAAGGAATGCTCAGTTGACCAGACAGTCCCGGAGGCACGGAGTGTGTGGTCTGGCTACGTGAGACTAGCAATGCTCTATCAGTTTCCATAGTAATTAATTACAGTTTTATTATCAAGAATATTAGCAGCTGTAAAATTACTTAAAGTATAACAAATAGTGATAGGGGACCATGTGGGCATAAAATGGATAAGCAAATCTATTTGGAGTGGCTTAAATAATAATACATGTTTGTAGTAGGGCATGGTCCACTACTGACACAAGCTGCCATGGGCATAGATAATAGAGTAAATCTATGACATGAAGAGGGCGTTTAAGCCCCACCCTTTAACATATAGAATGCTATACTCAGTATAAAACCAACAATTTAGTCTATATACTTACTTTTACTTGAAGAGATTAAGTAAAATGAAGTACATATATAAATCATAAACACAGAAGTCAGTGCAGTCATAGTAACTAAAAAAATAAAATTATTGATGTTCATTTAGAATAATTTCTCTCACTTGAAGCGAGTGGTGTCAGTAGATAGTCGTGTCTTTAGGCACGCACATCATCTTAATCTCATCACAAATCAGTCAGTAAGTACCTTCAGTAATTGTATGTAAAAGGCTCTTCCAGCTCCAGCCATTATAATATTACTGAGCATGCGCAGTTGGCTGCATCAAAATGGCGTCCAACCACTTGGTGAATCAACTGTGTACTTGAAAATAACGACGAGAAATCATTTTGTAGAATCAAAATGCCAAACCACACTGCACTAGCGTCCCTTAAGTGCAATAGAATGGTGCAAAAATTATCTTTCTAGGATAAAAACTGTAGGACTAGTTCTTCCTTAACTGTGGAAAAAGAAGAAGAAGAAGGACAGAAACCTGAACATTTGGTGCATGCAGGCATGCATGCATTCATTGCCGTAAAACTATCTTGTGGAAGTTTTTAGCTACTTTTTATAACACTAACCTGTTTCAATAAAATTATAAAGGAAATGTTGATTGTCGGATAAGCTATAAAGAATTCCTGAAGATTTACACCGTGGCAGGCTCAATGCTTCTGGGATGGCAGCCATTTTGGGGGGGGGGGCACTCGTCCAACTCAACCCTACATACCAAGCGCTAGCGCTTGGTAATAAATACATGTATGTACATGTACAATGCATGTATTTAATTTTGTGCACAAAAATAATAAATAACGAACTGTGTTATCTATTGTGCTATCATGAATAAACTGTGTTTCTATATTTGTTTAAGGACTACATGTACGCATTCATTAACATGGCCATTTGCCCACAACTGGCCATGTTTATAAATGGCTAAATACCATGTTTGTTTATGAAATGGCCAATATACCATATATAGCTCTTTAAGTAAACTATGCAGTGTTATCATCAATAATCTCATTTTGTGTTTCTATTTCTATATTTGTTTAATAACTACACATGTACACAATAATAAACATGGGTATTTATCCACAAACTCCACATATTTTCTCTTGTGGGATGATTGTATAATTAATTACTGATACCAAGCCAATCGATCATTGATAGATGAACCATTTTCTCTAGCTGATACAGTTTTTTAACTCTTGTTTCCATGACAATAAAAAAAAGTGTTTTGTTCTATAGATTTAGTGATTTAACAATTTTTATTTGATTTGTTTTATTACTTGCTCTCAAAGAAAATTTAATTAAAGTGAGAGAGGTTCACATATCACTGGGATACATTACATCTATACTTATGGTTGGAAGGGATAGTAATATTATTGACTATTGCTAGTAATATTTTTATCAGTATTAACAATATTGAATTTGCAATACTAGGTACAACTACAATATACTGCTTTGAAATTTGAATTGTATAAATTTATTGATCATAAAATTTACTAATATTGCACAACTCTACAGCTACTTTCTTTCCCAATTTTTTGTGTTTTAAGCACTGAAAAACAGCCCACATGTTGGAGATGTAACTCTACTTTTTTATAATTCCATTTAAAGTGCTGCCATTGAATGCTATTATTGCTAGGCAGTAATTGTTTTAATCTTACCATCATCATCTAGAGGTTCAAATGCCAATATTGGAACTCTTTCAGCCATGTTCAATCTGCAGTTGCTGCTCTACTGTCTAAGATTACTTCACACTGGTTACTGACACTTACTGGACTCTTCTAAAAACACTCCTGAATATGGTTATTGCAACTTGCATGTGTAATAAGTGTCAACTTGTAAATTGTTTTATACTGAATCAAAACAACAGAGAGAACAACAGCAAAAGATGATAATAAAAGACAGAGACTCTCACACACACATGCTCCTCTTCTGAGCATGCGCACTCATACACATAATAACATATTGTAACCATAATATAGTAATACATGAATTATTGTACATACACTACATAATACCAAGAGTATAGTGTCAATTCAGTTCACTACACATGTACCGGTACATGTACTATTTATAGTAGAGGGGTGTGGCTACTCCTATAGTCATCACAGGCATGTACATATGGTTGCTTGAATTGACCCAATTTCTTTACTACACATCACTTCCTGGTCACATGACATGTGTTAGTAGCAAGCAACCTGCAATTCACTGCAGATGCATATACATGTTGACTACATATAGTGCAGTGGTGACTGCTGACCAGACTCTCACCCCTTTCTGCATAGCCAGTGTCCATGTGAGCACTGGCATTTTATTGCTCAGATATTTTTTAATGCTATTGATAATGATAACCAACTTGCAATGTTGTTTATAGTTATTATTAATTTTGGTCTTCTCTTTTTGTTGTTAGTCTGTCCCATCCATTATTATTTCCTTCCCAATCTCTCTTTTAGTGTCTCATTCTAATGAAGGTGAATCAGGTCTTGATGATTAATCACAAGATATCACTGGAGGCATGTGCACACACACACACACTAGTCTCACTGGGCCCAGACTAGTCTCGTAGACCCCAGCCTACAGTCCACCCCAATGACTGTCAGCTGAGGAATGGCCTGGCCAGCGAGACTATACACACAGTCACACACACACACACTGGAGTCTGGAGCAGCGGAGTAGGCACAAATTTACATGTGCTTTGGGAGTTGCTATAATAATTTATACTAGTACATGTAGTTGCTAATGTCGTAATATAATGAGAATGATTCTGACAGTAGTACCAGTGAAAGTGCTAGTCACACTCACCAGGAGTTTGAGGTGAGTAGCTGATTATTGAGATAATGTATCTATGTATTGAGTAGTTACCTAAAGAACCTTTTCAATTACGACAAGAGATTGCTAGTCATTCACTTGAATTACCTGAATTTGATATTGGCAGTAGTCACAGGTACACACATGTAGTCTTGTACACAGTGACACACATGTATATTACTGTACATGCACACGTACATGTACATGTACATATAACCATACATACATGGAATATGGTATTGAGCCATTTTGTTTAATATTTTAAAGTCATGATTGTTATATGACAAGAGAGAAAAAGAGAAGAGAGGAGAGATTGCATTTAAGTTAATACTGTTCTCTTCTGCTTTTATTCCTCCCTCCCTCTTCTAGTGGTGGTATATCTCATGCCTCCAGTGGTCGTCACTCCTCACAACACACTCTCAACTTCCCCAAACAATTCATTCCAGTACCACATCATTATGACATCACTGTTCATTTATATTAACCTTAGGGCTGGACTCCACCTACCTGGGACTTCTCCCCTCAAGTAGCTGAAGTATTGAAGCATTATGCTGGGAAGGTGTGACAAATTATAATAGGCAAAATATTGATTAGAATGAAGATAATAATTTTTGTTATTGATTATTGTTATTACAGGGTGATGTTCAGATGAGTGTTACTATTATTCTTGTGTTTGGTGAGAGGGTCAGTAAACTGATACCTGAAGTAACATTACTTCAATGGTTTCATTCATATATTGGTCAGTGAGACTATTTGTATTTTAAGTCAGTGTGTGATTTTAAACTGTTGAGCTTTTATATCTAAGTACACAAAGTATTATTTTTACAGAATTGATTGCTTTAATTGGACTTGCCACGCTTGCGTAGGCGGGTACTATGCAGTTGGGTTGTCATTCTGTCACGAAAATTCCTGTTAATTCCTAGTCAATATCTTTTTTACTGAGCTCTCCTGAGTTATAATTCTTTTTAAGCTTTGAGAAAAAGATAATTTATTTAGCTCCGTTGTATTTTTATAGCAATCCGTGGTAGCAAAAGCTGAATATTTTCAAGAATATACCACTTTTCCTAGCCAAATCTTTGTGTTTCACTCTATTTGGTCAAGGTTAGCATTGATAGGTAGATAAAAGTACCTAGATTAAAAAATATGTGGGAATTTTTCTAATCTCTTTTTTATTTGGGAGTTACAGTTGCTCAAAGTTTGTGATTTAGCCTCTTCGAAAAATTTTCAGGCAGCACTGGGGAAATCAAGAGCAACCAAACTATCTCAGTCTCTTTTAAATATCTAGGCAAATTTTTTGTGCTTACTCTTTCTTTGAATAGAGCTTCAGATGCTAAAATAAATTTCAGCTTTTCTTCTTTCTCCTACCCACGTGCCATGTTTATCTGCACTGCACTGCTAGGTGCTGACCACACCTATAATTTATTTTATGGATCAGTGCAGTAATTGGCTAATTGCATTGTTGCACTTTGTCAAAATCTATTATCCTTTTTTCAAATATCAAGTTGCTTATATACATAATATAATGATGGGAGCAGTACAAGTAACACATTATCTCTCGGGTGAATCTCAGCAGGCGAGTCCACGCACCATGGTGCTTCATTTTTACTTTATTTGAGCTATTTACTATACTACCAATTGTGTTGTGCATATAAATAATGTTGTGCTATTTACTATTGTGTAATTTTACTACCAATTCTATTGTGCAAATAAAATTAATTACTTATTCTAGAGTGTTGATCACAAATTTTTCAATTACAGTGTATGAGTGCCTATTCTAAAAATCTGCTAGTTTTTTAAGTTAATGTTGTTGTGATACATTAATAGTTGTTTGTATGTGATGTCTGTGCCCTTTAAGTGGCATACAGTGAAAGACAGTTAATCCCATTGTTGACAATAATAATGCATGTCATAGAGCACAGCACAATTATTAGTGTGGGAAAGGACTATAAGTAGCCTGGATGTCTGATTGTCAGTCATTTTGTTTCTTATAATGTATAACGTTTTACTTTTAATGTCTTTATTAGATTTATTGACACAGTATCAGTTATTAAATGAAGCTGTTTATATTACCAAGAACTGTCCTCTTATTTAATAAGCAAATAAAAGAAATTAGTCAGGTAAAAATGATGATTACTATATTACTGTATTAATTAAAGCTTATTTTCTCATACTATAGAGTTCAACACTGTATAATATTGGGTGTGGTCGGTGTAATAAGCCCATCCCACCTGCTAATATAATGTGTCAGAAATGTGAGGGTAGACTTAATATCTGCTCTGTGTGGTAAGTGAAGGACAATCATGCTGTGTATCAGAAATGTGGCAGTAGTAATAGTAGTAATTGTAATAGAAATTAGAATTTCTTTCAAGATTTTGAGGAGTAGTATTTCATTGAATATTGTATAATACTAGAAAAAATTATCTAATGCATATACATGTTCTTATGTTGACTAATTTGGATTTTTTTACGAATTTTAAAAGTTTCTCAGAAATTGGGCCAAAGTTCCTGTACAACCATGTACTATAGTACATGATTGTTGGCCAAATTTTATCAAAAATGGCAAGAAAAGAATTCTTCATTTTTATATTTTTTTCCTAATGCATATACATGTACTTATGTTACGTAGAAAGTTTGAGCAAAATCCGATCTAGTTTGGATTTTTTTACGAATTTTAAAGTTTCTCAAAAACCAGGTCAAAGTCCCTGTACTATAGTACATGGTCATTGGCCAAATTTCATCCAAATTGACAAGGAGAGAATTCTCCATTTTTATTACATTTTCTGATAAATATACATGTATTTATGTTGCGTAGAAAGTTTGAGCTAAGTCCAATCAAGTTTGGATTTTTTACGAATTTTTTAAGTTTCTCAAAAATTGGGTCAAAGTCCCTGTACTATAGTACATGGTCATTGGCCAAATTTTATCAAAATTGACGAGGAGAGAATACTCCATTTTTATTACATTTTCTGATGAATATACATGTATTTATGTTGCGTAGAAAGTTTGAGCTAAGTCCAATCAAGTTTGGATTTTTTTACGAATTTTTTAAGTTTCTCAAAAATCGGGTCAAAGTCCCTGTACTATAATTTTATTAGAGGAAATGGTTTTAAAGTTGATAAAATTAATAGGAACACTCCTTCTTATACTGCTCCTTCTGCACTTGATACTAATAAATTAATTCAATTTTATAAAGATAATTTAGCGTGCCAGGATAAGAGACTTAATGAAGGTTTGAAAGAAATTAAAGAAGCTCATGATTATAATAAGAAGCAATTTCCTTTTAATTAATGAGATGATCATGAATAAATGATGACACTAGTGGATCAGAGGACATATTTTTTTAATTCATTTTCAGAGATTACCGAATTTACCCATTCATTATAAAATTTATCATATTTTTTTACTACTTCTTCAGATAAGTGATATCTTCTTAACACAAACGGTTGTAATGGGCTTATTAATTGAAATAATCTCATGAATATATATAATGGTGAATTTATTTTGTCAAATAACATATGTTCATCCATGTTATTTAATAACACATACAACATCATTCTATTTTCTAATGATAATACTATTCTTTTATTATATGTTCTATAATTTACATACATACACATTAACGCCCCCGATGGAATTCTTTTACTTCTTAAATATGTATGTATATCTTTCCATAATGTAATGTTATAGTATCTTAATTCTTCAACTATTACTGATATTGATATATTTGATTTCTTTAATATTTTTTCCATTCTATTTCCCAGCGCCCTGTTGTGTACAATGGTCATTGGCCAAATTTCATCAAAAATGACAAGAAGAGAATCATCCATTTTTATTACATTTTCTGATAAATATACATGTATTTATGTTGCATAGAAAGTTTGAGCTAAATCCATTTGAGTTTGGATTTTTTACGAATTTTTAAAGTTTCTCAAAAATTGGACCAAAGTTCCTGTACTATAGTAGAGTGTAGGAGGGAACTGAGCCCTTAAGTAAACATTTTTAAAAGATAAATATAAGGCAAGGATACATAGGAGGTTAGGAAATGAGAAAATAAAGAGCATAATAATGGAAAATAATAACAAATAAGATAGAATGAATAAGTTAGGTTAGGGTGAGGCAAGCTTCAGATGTGGCTCTACAGAAGTCATTAGAATCTATTGATCTCATTCTGGAGCCTAATCCCTGTAGGTCATTGGCCAAATTTCATCAAAAATGGCAAGAGAGTTTTCAAATTTTATTGCATTTCCTATGTATAATTATTATACATTGTACATGTCCTTTTGTTGCATATAAATTTAAACTGATTCCAATCAAAATTAGATGTTTTATGAATTTCCAAATTACTGAAGTGAGAGAAGATACCGAAACTTCTTTTTGAAGTTTTTATTTTTTATTAGTGCTAAGCTCTTTGTTTTAATTTGTTTTTTCTTTTTTCTTCCTCTCTCTCTCCCTCTTAGTCATGCTCCTGTTAAAGGATTATACTCAATGTGTGAGGTGTGTGGTCATGGTGGCCACATGTCTCATTTGAAGGAATGGTTCAGTACTAACAGCTGGTGTCCATCTGGTTGTGGACATAACTGTGTAACATGACAATT